GGAATATAAGCTGCTTGTGCGCCTGCCATGCTAAACAGGCAAACATGTGAACATTCACTTGAGGCAAAAGTGCAATAAACAATAAAGTCTAATTGTTGAGTTTACCTACAAAATTCTGAAATCTGTGGATGACGGCAGATTCACTGGTTCGATCTATTACATTTTTTGAATTTAATACAAGCCTTTGGTGAAAGCCTATATGGTGAACAGAAAGTTCAATGTTACTTGCATGTTTGACTAGATCACTATCTAATCTTACATGCAGGGGCGTACAGTAATATGAAGATTCTTGATCACTGTTTAAAAGGCAAAGTGGACAAAACAACTTTGTGTTCCTTTTGTGAATTTAAACGGGGGGGGGGGGGCGTTTCAGCACCCGTAACAATATCCACAGGGGGTCTAAGCTTGTACTCAATCCACTATGCTAATTTGCTGGTGAATGTAGACGTCATCCAAACTGACCAAAACTAATTATGTTGTTCATATTTTTCAATTCGGTACCAGAGAGTGCAGGAAATAACATTTCCGAGCCTCAATTTGTTCAATTTTTCCGGGTAGCATGCCTCCAGACCCCCTCAGTTTGCAATCCTCCTAACTCTGAATATCTTCCTACGCTACTGCTATGACAGCTGCATGGTCATGTTTTACTATTCGTACGCTACTGCTATGACAGCTAGTCATGTTTTACCATGCGTACACTACTGTTATGACAGCTGATCATGTTTTACCATGCGTACGCTACTGTTATGACAGCTGCTCATGTTTTACCATGCGTACGCTACTGCTATGACGTACAGCTGGTCATGTTTTACCATGCGTACGCTACTGCTATGACAGCTGGTCATGTTTTACCATGCGTACGCTACTGCTATGACAGCTGGTCATGTTTTACCATGCGTACGCTACTGTTATGACAGCTGGTCATGTTTTACCATGCGTACGCTACTGTTATGACAGCTGGTCATGTGTTTACCATGCGTACGCTACTGCTATGACAGCTGCATGGTCATGTTTTACTATTCGTACGCTACTGCTATGACAGCTAGTCATGTTTTACCATGCGTACACTACTGTTATGACAGCTGATCATGTTTTACCATGCGTACGCTACTGTTATGACAGCTGGTCATGTTTTACCATGCGTACGCTACTGTTATGACAGCTGGTCATGTGTTTACCATGCGTACGCTACTATTATGACAGCTGGTCATGTTTTACCATGCGTACGCTACTGTTATGACAGCTGGTCATGTTTTACCATGCGTACGCTACTGCTATGACAGCTGGTCATGTTTTACCATGCGTACGCTACTGTTATGACAGCTGGTCATGTTTTACCATGCGTACGCTACTGTTATGACAGCTGGTCATGTTTTACCATGCGTACGCTACTGTTATGACAGCTGGTCATGTTTTACCATGCGTACGCTACTGTTATGACAGCTAGTCATGTTTTACCATGCGTACGCTACTGTTATGATAGCTGGTCATGTTTTACCATGCGTACGCTACTGTTATGACAGCTGATCATGTTTTACCATGCGTACGCTACTATTATGACAGCTGGTCATGTTTCACCCAGGGCCGCCGAGAGGTTGGCGGGGGCCCGGGGCAAATTTTTTTTAGGGGCCCTTATCTAAAAAATTATTCCCCGACAACAAAAAATTTTCAGGGGCCCCCAGCAACTCGGGGCCCGGGGCAATTTGACCCCCTGCCCCCCCCCCTCTCTGCGGTCCTGGACTTTCACCATGCGTACGTCACTGCTATGACAGCTGGTCATGTTGAGTGTCGTGTTCACATGCACATAGCTGAAAACTTATCCAGTCTATTATATAAAATTTTACAGAAAAATTTGCCCCCTCCTTTTTCCCCGCCATTGTAATCATGAGTAATCATCAATCAAATATGTAATCATTGTAACCATATGCATGAGGTTGATGCATGTTCGCCATACATTTCGTCTAAAATTCGCAAAAACACAACTTTGACTGACGATTGAGGGCATTACACAATTTCCGATACTTTAATAATCTCGTATTAATTCCGACAACTTCTACATTTAGAAGAGGCTGTCCCCAGTCACCTGGTTGACTACCTTACGGAGGTTCATTGTGGGTTAGGACTTATAGGGTTAGAGTCGCCCACATAACGAACACCCGTGTCCGTGAGGTAAAGTCACTGAACCCTCAGCTATACGAGGCCACCGATCGTGTTTTTAATTTAGTAACTTCTCATTAACTATTTTTTATTACTTAGCAAAGTTTGCAATCTATATAGACAATCTGTTATCATTATATGTTGACTTTTCATTATATATTTAAATTAAAATTTGCAGACTTTATGGAGAGAATTTTAGTCCAAGAATTTTATTTTCTGCTTGAGTCAGTCCAAATGCATACATTAGCTGCAAAAATTTTTCTACTTATCATACTGGGGTATTCTGGCTCGGGCTTTCTAACAGCGTGAAGACATTTTGCCAAAGTGAAGAAAGCAGTTCGGTGCAGATGAAAATATTAGCAAATAATATATTGTGGCCATTGTAAATATCATTAAATTGTAACCAAGTCTCTTGCATGCCTGAGTCAATATGGTGCATGCATGTTGGCCGGCAACGCCTACAGTTAGAATGTATATAAAAAGAGTTTCCGCATCCCATAAAAGCGCTAAGAAAAGCAAGTCACAGAGAAGTGAATTTTGAAAACAGGTATTTAGCTCAAGTGAGTTTGAAATTCAATATTTTATTTTTTAAGGCTAACTTGGCATTATATGGAAGTATATTAATACTGTGTCTTTAAAGGAAACACACACTTTGATCTTTGACTTTGAAGAAACGTTAACGTTGATATTGTAAACCAGCTTTTAAATTAGACTGTCGCATTTAAAACTTTAATAACCACAGTACTAGTGAATCTGTAAAACTGGAATTGACAGATAACATGGTCCATAAAAATTCTTATTTTAAATCAGTTTAGGTGAAAATGGCGATAAAAATCATAATTGTGGTCTTCATGGGATTTTGTCTCATTCAGGCAAATGCAAACTTTATAAAAAGTGGTGTAAAAGGTAAATTGTGCGATATATGAGGGCCCCCTATACCTCTTCACAATATGCTTTCACGTAAAAATATTTTGCCTTTTCACGAGTCACGGATTAAGAAAATCATCGATCACGTTTCACGGCTAAGTAAAATAAGCCCTTCACGCTTCACGCAAAACGTATAGGGGGCCCGATCACGTTTCACGGCTAAGTAAAATAAGCCCTTCACGCTTCACGCAAAAAGTATAGGGGGCCCTCATATATATATTGTCCAATATACCGTTACTCAATATTTCCATTTTCAGCTTGGAAATCCTGTTTGAATTTGTTCCGAAGGAGTCAGAATATTATGTCATTGAGTTGGAGTTATAAGATATAGATGTAGTTATAATTAGTAAATTCGAATAGGAAACTATATCGTTATCTTTTCGTTTTTAGATAAATTGGAGCAGGATGAATCAGAGATTAATCAAGATATCGAAGGTTGGAAATAATAGTATTACATATATTACATGAGTGTTGTAAAAATGGATTTAAAAAAAGTGGTATTTTCTTTCAGGGACTTCCGTTTCCATTTTTCGTTAAATTAGAATCCTTAGGGGTACAAACCTTGACCATGCAAAGTCTTACCGATTTGTATAATTCATTTATATAGTCGATATAGTCGCATTCAAAAAATTTTTTTTCTGAGAAAAATATTGAGACGGATCGAAGGTGCATGCAATATATTCAGTCATTATTCACATAAAAAGTTTAAAATTGGCAGTTAATTGATTATGAACGCAATATCTGTCCTGCATATACATTATCTATAATATATACATGTACTGCATGTAGTCAAGTTGGGATCAGTCGTTTAAAGAACAATTCTTGTTCAAGTAATTTTTATAAATTAACAAGCACTTCTTTATCAAAATTTAACAAATCACGATTGTTTGGTCCAGCCCGAGGCAAAAGCGATGATCGGAGCTTATATAGCACTGAATTAAGCCATTATTCACCATGTATGACCATGTGCATGAAGAAAATAAACAATGTTATTATTGCACGCCTTCCACGCATGAAGTATATAGGTTCCTCCTGCCTGTTAAACTGCAACAGTGATGAATAGTTCCCGTCTACGGACAAACTCCGGGCAAAGGAAACCTTTACGCCATAAGATAATTATACATTAAATATATATGTGTAACGTAAAAGGATCATATAATGATTCTTGTGACACAAGAAAGAAAATATGAAGCGAGAACGTTAAATGAAAATTCTGCGAAGGAAATACAACTTTGCCGTTTGCCGCTCCCACAAATATGAAGAATAAACTCCCTTATATGTTTCTCCACAACTTTGCCTAGTTCACAGACTTCTGCATGAGGCAAATATTTGAGAAGTAAATGCTACAAGTAATTCTAATATGCCAGCGCGGTGATGCAGGATGACCATGCAGAACTTAATTTTTTGGAGGTAAAGACAAATTATAGTTGGATTTACTAGTATAGGTTGAAAACTGTCTGGGTTTTTTTTCAGGAAACGTTTCCAAACGAGGTTTGGCTGTAGTTATTCCACTAATAGAACTTGGCATTAATGTCTTACAATCAGTACTAGATGCTCTTGGTAACATAGAGAGAACTATTGCGATTGGAATTGGTAATGACACACCATATGAATGGAAAGCTGATGGTGTTTATTTCCGTTCTGGTACATCTGATGAATTTCTTCCTGCCTATCTGAGTTCAGAAGAAGGCGCCATTTTTCCAGGGAGAAAAACGGAAGGTCCTGTTGCAACAGGTGTGGTGGGTGTTCTCTGTTATTACATCCCTAAGCGAAGAAAATCTCTGTGTGTTATGTTCAGTGTGCCATTTGATTATAATTTGTACTCCAATTTGTGGGACGTACAAATGTTCTCTGGTAAGATCTCGCCAGACCAACAGTTGTATGAACAGATGTATTATGGTAGTCCTTACAGCGGTGACAACAGGTAATTTGTGCAATCATTTTCATATGAAACCTATTTCTCTCCAAAAGGTTAAATAATTTTTAAAATTTAATTAATTAAGAATTAATTAATTTTTTAAAATATTGAATTGTTTGTTCATCATCACAGTCTGCGGCATTTAATGGGTTTCTGTGTTACCGACCACAGACTATTTGCCGTCTGTGATATTAAGAAAATTAACGTATATCTCTGCTTAGCTCCTATATTAACTTGTCGACTTACCAATTATCAGTCTAGGAATACTATTTGAAGTCAGTATGCCAGTACACGTATAATATATATGAGTGACAACTATTCCATGCAAAAATCCCATTTACTTGCATGCAAAAAATGTGGGAAATACAACGACGCCGTTTAGACTTCAGTTTCATAATCATAAAAGCTCGCTTAATTAATAGGTATATGGTGGGGTTCAAAGAGCGATTTTTCGCCAACATTTGTATGCTCATTTTTCGAAGAGGGTAGCTCAGTAGTGTATGACGCGTTAGTATACATTAGGGATAGGTATATATATTCAATGGAAAGGAAAGGTTTTTGGATTGAAAAGTTGAACACCTACGTCCCTATGGGTTTGAATGCAAGGGATAGTTATTAAGTGATGTATGCAATTAATGCAAAGTATTCAAGGATGTAGACACTTGAACTTTTTTCGTTTCTGACGAATAGGGCGGCGCCCCAAAACGCTGTAAATAAAGTTTTTTCTTATTTTTTATCAATAATATTTCGGTTTATTGAAGCTATATGGATGTCTTTCCTTTTGGTATATGTGTGTGGGTGGGTGTGGAACAAGTAAATCCGAGTGTTATCTATGATCTAGCAGCACAACATATTCTAAATATCAATCACTCTTCCCCTCTCATTTGTCTCAAATAGTGAGTTTCAAATTAGACATTCATTCTTACTTCCATTCTTTCTTTTAACATTAGATACCACGAGAAAGATCTTGGTCATGGTTTCATCATGGAACATGGTATCATGAACAATGCAGGAAACGCAAGACTCATGATAAATATTGCGACGAAATCTCGATAAAATTTAAAATATATTCTATCTCTAATATAATAAATGCTTGTAGAAGACAAGAAAAAATAAGTAAAATACAAAAAGAAACCAAAAAATAAACATCGTGTGGTCCTATCATAGTCGATTTTCTGACCTTAGGAATACTGGACTGCATGAAACGCGACATGGTTCTCCTGAACCTCATCCACATTGTAGCATAACGCTTGTTTCCCTTCCCTGATAATTTTGACGAGAAAGATGTGAAATTGAGGTATAGTAAAGTGAATACAAATTTTGCATTAAAACAATAGCTATTGAAAGTTATTGTAGTACGCACATGAAGTAACCCGCGGGATAGGATGAAGCGCTGCTCCCCAATCAAACGCAGTGATGCAGGCACGACCATCATGTAGAAAAGCAGCGGAGCTATGGCTGGCGGGCCAGCAGTGGCGCCGGCAACAATTTTTTTTTTTTGGGGGGGGGCAGTGAGTCGAAAGGATTTTCGCTGGCAAGGGAAAAAATAGGTAATGCATGATTTTTCATTGTTAGATTATTTAAATCATTGTAATACCACTTATTTAACATTTTTCTACTGTGGAATGACTCAATGACTTTGATTAGAAATCATCGTTTAATTTGAACTTTAATAAACAGTGTTAACAAAGAACTTGATTATATTTGTCAAAACAGCTGAAACATTTAGTGTTATATTACAAGTAATATATAAGTAATACATGTATGTAATATCTAACACAAATTCCATCTCCATGTAGCTGAATCACTAAAACGTTTATAAACAAGTCCGTCAACATCAACATCTGCGGAGGAGAGAGGGTCTCCTATATCTATGGGTATGGATCAACGACAACACGAAGTCGGCGCCATGAGTTTATTTTTTCACACAGGCACCCAAAATATATATGATTGTAGTAAAGATCGGCAAATCAAGTTATCAAGTATTATAAATATGATTTCAAGGGAAATACTTGTGGTGATAACACTGGGTGAAACACAATCAAAACGACTTCAAAAACTCCAAAATAGAGCTGCTCGAATTATTATGAATATGAGCAATGACACAGATCATTCTGTTGCATTGCAAGCATTAGGCTGGAAGACACACTTAAAGTAGAAAGGAGAAAAGCCCAGGCAAACATTATGTATAAATGATTAAATAACATGGGTCCTCAATCACTCACTAACTTATTCACTTATAAAAGTAAAATGACTAGCTATAATCTTCGAAACATTTCAAGTACTCTTTGTTTACTGCAACGGCGGACTAATAATTTGAATGATGGATCATTCCGTTGGAATTCTATTCCTAAGGAAATTCAAGAGAACTGCACAAATCCCTTTCTTCCTTTCGGACGAAAATCGCTGCTCACATTGATAGTTAAAGCAAATATATGCGTCTGTAAATACATTATTTCCTCATGCATATACTACATCTTATATCTCAAAATATTTTATACTATACCTTACATTTTGTAAATAGCGTGTTTAAATAAAGCTATCTATCTAGGCTATCTATCTATCTACATACAGTATGTGAATAATTATTTCTCACTTCATTACCTGAAACAAATCTAGACCGCGGAAGAGTTACTATTGTTATAAGCATTTAGTATAATTACATAGGTGATTATTGAAAATTCTCCACGCTGATTGGTTACCGTTGAGGTGATTATTACGCGATAATCACCTAAGCGATTTTCAAAATGGCGGCCGAAGCCGTTTTGTCAATTAAAAGACGAATAAATGTGCATTTTTAATTTTTTTTCCAAATAATCACCTATGAAATTATACTAAAACAATTATTCACCTCAGGCTCGGTGATTATCGTGAATAAAAACCTCGACTTCGTCTCGGTTTTTATTCACCGATAATCACCTCGCCTTCGGCGAATAATTGTTAAATATTAATCGTAATATAGCTATATATACATGAAAAGGTCTTGAAAGCACTTCTTGTACATGTGAGCGTTCCTACTTATTTGTAAAGTCGGTTGGTCTGATGGAAACATAATTAATTAACCATTTCGGATCTGTTTTCATTGTTTTTAATATTTAATTGTTTTCTCCCTTAAGCCTGGCGCACACGATGCGATTTTAGTCGGCCGATAAAAATCGTTTCACTAAAACTAACAAAATCGTTGTGTGTGCGGTATCATTTTTAACCGATTTTTGTTGCTCGATTAATAATAATTTTGATATTATACGATTTTTATCGGTGGAATTTTAAGTATAACCAATCAGATTTCATGCTGTGATCACGTGCTTGTATTTATTTGGCAACATGGCGGCTACAGTTCAGGGTTTTTTTCGTAATCGTGTGCGGAGTTTACCGATGTATATCGGTATGTCAAACGATTTTTATCGGCCGACTAAAATCGCATCGTGTGCGCCAGGCTTTATGTGCAGTTCTATTACTACTATACATAGGCGTACGGGACGGGGGGAGGGGCAGGGGGGGGAGCAGCTGCCCCCCAAACAGATTACAAAGTCGAAAAGTCGGGCAAATCTTCAACAAAAGTTGGGCAAAAAGTCGTCAAAACAACAATAACACCAGTTTGTTGGGCAAACAAAGCCAGTTGGGCAATATTCGCTTCTCAGTCGGGCAATATTTGGTTATTATAAAAATAAATGGGACAATTCTGTCAATTTTGTGATCATGTCAATTTTTCGAATTTTGGGAAAATTTGTTTAATGTTCCGAAAAATTTAGGTATGTCCGAAAATTTTTTTTACCCTAAAATGGTACAATGACCGAAATTTTTTTGGTGACGGGGGGGGAGGTCGCCAAAATAAATTGTTCCGGAAAAAAAAATTTCGGAACTTGTCGGGCACAATCCGAAAAAGTCGGGCAAGTTTCTTTCTGCCCCCCCAAATTCTTTCCTTCCCGTACGCCTATGCTACTATATACAGACAGCTATTTTTCTAGAAATAAATTTATGCAAAAGATTCAAGATTAAACGTGTCACAGTTCCATGTTGAAATATTCATCTAAGAAAAATATTTCCACCAGGATTACTGACATTCTTCTTTTCGTTGACAGTAACTCCTGAGTTGCAGGGGTCGTGTACAGGATAGCATTTCTCCTTTGATCCATCAAATCGATAAAATGAGGTGGCTGCATATATGCGTGGTCCACAGCTGTGTTTAGTAATACGATATGGTTCAACTCCTTCACATGCCGTCGCGACATTCTTGATATTTATGCACGATAGAGATCCATCGACTTCACGGACTAAGCTTCCACCATCCGGTTCACAAACAATCCAGTCGTTAATGTTTGACTTGATTAAGAATTCCTCTCCAACATTTTGCCAGAGTTCAAAATCCATGGCTCCTAATGCTATTTCATTCAACGGAGCAACATTAGAGATCTCAACATCAGCGTCTGGAGCATACCATGCTGGACGGGGGGTTACGGCATTATTGTCATTATAGAAGTCATCATAATTTGTAAATGTGTAAGAATAAACTAGTGTCCAACCCCCTCCGTGTGTATCCATATCACAATATACTTGAAATGGTAAGATTGTATTTTCGTTCGCTCCGCCTGAGGTATTAACTTGTATCCAATATACTCCTGAGCTTGACTCGTTTTTCAGAGTTTTGATTTCCAAGCACGATTGTGGATCTAAAAATATTAAGACGCGTCACAATTAACTGCTCCATGTGAAAATATAAATCATTGAGATTTACGTCAGACGCTCTTTGTCAAGAGAGTTAGTATTAGGAATTGAAGGTTCACTGTGAACAGGAAGGATGACATGCATTTATCAGTTGCGATCACTGTCGCTTCCTGACATTTGGCTAGTTACCTCATAAAATTATGCAAGACACACAGAATATATAGGATAGATTATGATATATAGATAGATTTTTATCAATCACCATATTGTAAACCCATAGTGATAATATTAGAAATTTTAAATTTAAAACTATAAAATATAAAATATACTATAAAATATTGTGCTATGCCTTTATGTTCGGTCCCAATTTCTAACACAACTGCAGCATATACAGTATAGCTAGTGGATCACTGGCGCTGTAAAGATGGATCGTTTATCTGTACAGTTGAGAATGTGATTATCGTTTCGCCCCATGTGAGGTAATCCAGGAGGTATTTGGATTCCGGATCCCACTGCTTGGATTCCGGATCCAACTCCTTGGATTCCAGATTCTACATCTTGGATTCCGGATTCCTAAACTATAGTGGATTCCGGATTCCAATTTCAGGGCCGTAACTAGCATGTATAGTTGTGTGTGTGTGTGGGGGGGGGGGGGGGGGGGGGGGGGGAAGGTGTGGGACAAAAATGTCCGAAGTGACGAAAACATTTTCCGAATATTTCATGGCATGTGAAGCCACGAAAATGAAGACGCTATGTACAAACAAAAATGTTTTACGCATAGACGTATTTTACGCATAGACGTAAACGCATGTTTTACGCATAGACGTATTACAGAGCTTGCAGTGGCGTAGGGAGCTCTTTTTGATTTGGGGGCAGAGAACGAGGGCCTAAGGCCCGAGGAAATTTTTAAATTTAGAGTCTCTGAAAAGCCATTTCCTGGATTTTGGGGAAGTTTTGACAGAATTCTGACGGTCAGCAAATAGTGTTTTAATTTGTCGAAATTTACAATTTGCTTACAATTTAGTAGTACTAATTGGGCGAAGGCGTAAATATTTAATTAACTATCAGATATTGGAGAAATTGCAGGAGTATGGGTAATATGATTCTTTGTAGTCTGTCATGGATAATGTAGCCGCTTAAAATTAATCAACTATCAGTATTTTAAAGGTTAAATGATAGGTTAATTAAATAAAGGTTAAATACCGATTTACTATTTGTTAAATGTTATCCATGTAAATGCCATGATTTCGTAAATCAGTTTATACTGATACTACAATTATATTATATTTTCTCTGTTTAACAACTAAAATTTTGCTATACTATTATTGACCTAATTTTCCGAATGGCCAACCCGATTTTCCGAATATGTTAATTCTAAAAAAGTGGGGGGAAGGTGTAACCCCCCCCCCCCCCAATACCCCCTCCTCGCTACGGTCCTGTCCAATTTATTATTTTGTGTATTGCAAAGTCACACAGTACTAAATAGCATTTATTTTCGAGGAAATTGTTAAAATGTTCACAAGCAACTAATTAATAATAAATTTTATATAGGAGACATAACTTATAGGTGTAATTTAACGTTTCAAAACGGAGAGGCGCACTATTTTTGTATCAAACACTGCAGGCTTGACAGGCTCGATTTGATGTAAACGTCCTTCAGTGTTTCAAATAATTGATGCGAAATTTAAAAAAAGGCATTTTATTCTAATGTAAATGTATAAACGGGTCAGTGTCTAGTTGGGTAGGTACCAAGTATATATAAATAAAATAAAACAAGATTGACAAGAAAATAATACACATCTTTTCTCATTTGATTCCTTACTGTGTTTGAAATGTTTCCCCATGTCCAAGTCCGAAAATTCGTTTCGTAGTCGACTCAAAAGCTTAAGATACACCAAGATGCACGAGCTTAAGCTTGCACGAGCTTAAGATGCACCAAATCTACAGCCCTGGGCAAACTAGGAAACGTTGTTTCCTGCCAATGTTTCGCCATGTTTCCCAAGGTGGACAAACACTAGGAAACAATGTTTCCGCAACAAAAATCGCACTTGGGAAGCATGAAATGTTTCTGAATTTGATAGGAAACATTTCTGCTTCTCGGGAAGCAAATTGTGTTTCTGCAACGATGTTTCTACGGGTGACAAACACAGAAACACTTGAGGAAACATGGCGAATCACAGTGTTTCCGCAACAATGTTTGCTAGTTTGCCCAAGGCTTACGACGCGGACGTGACATAAAACTAATGTTTGAAATCCAGTTTTATTGTATGCAGCTTGACTTTGTTTACCAATTCACTTGTGTCTCTGACTTTGTTTAATTTTTATCCGTGTAGTGAAACTATGGGAATAGTTACAGTTCTTTCCACGACCGCGTCGTAGATGCAAACGGTACATAAGAATGTGTATACACGCGCTAGTAATCGGAAACCGAGCGGGCGCAAACAGTTTCCCAAATTTCATGTATTTGGACTATTTGGTCATGAAACTTGAAAGAGCCTGAACATATTTCCTGGAGTAAAAAAAAAGAGGAGATGGTTAGCAATGTTTTTTATATTTTTACGGGTTTTTTTTTCTAAATTAATGAAACATGAATGGATTCCAGAACAAACTGGGCTCTGGATTACGGATTCCTCAGCTATTTGGATTCGGATTCCACTGTCTGGATTCCGGATTCCAAGACTCTGGATTCCGGATTCCTAAACCAACAAAAAGTCGGATTCCGGATTACCTCACAAGGGGCGAATCGTTTTATAACAGAAAAATCATAGGTTTCAAACCATTAAAATCATTTTAATTTAGAATGATCATTGAAATAACTTTTTCTTCGTTTTTCTCTGACAGAGGGTTGAGTTGGTTTGTCTTTAATTTGTCACAATGTCAATCAGTCAGTGGCTTGATAGAAGGTCCTGAAGGGGGGGTCCCAATCCCATTTCCCACCTGAAATTTTCGCAAAATCCCAGTCCCAATTGGATTTTCATTAGAAATCCCAGTCCGAGTTATTGAAATCCCAGTAATAAACAACCCTTTATTTATCGGTAGAATAAACAGTTTTAAGACCTTTTAAGCCACCGTGTGTGGAAGTGGTGGACACTTTATGAAATATCGGGGGGGCTCGTGCCGAAGGCACAGAAAATTTTTAAATTTGAATCCCGGAAATGGCATTTGCAGCATTCTGAGACACGCATAATCAGAAAACCCAGAATTCCGGGCGCCAGAGTATGCCTGTTCGCAGGTAGTGCTGTGAATAATATAATTAACAACAAAAATCATGACCAAAGACACTGAAAACGGATCAAAATTGTATTTTAAAACACTTAAAATGTAGAAAAATTGGGAATCGACTCGCATTACCTCAATCGCATTCCCATTTTTGAGGACTTCATTTCCCATTCCCAGTAGCCAAATCCCAGTCCCAGCAACCCAAATCCCATTTTCCCAGTCTAAAATTAGATCAATCCCAGTTCCCATTTTACCCCTTCAGGACCCTCTTGATAGGAGATCGAACAGGAATGGTTATACACTTATATACTTACAGTATACTAAACCGTTTTAATACGAAGATTTGTATATGAAGCTAATGACCATCGCCCATGTACATGTATGCATGAACAAGTCGATCGCGTAAAACTTGAACTGGAAATTTCAGAATAGCGATATACTTCACCACTGTATATAAAAGAACTGAATGAATAAGCATGTCAAACCGCTGACTTCGATACGAAGTGAAGACATAAAAACACTTGAATTTAAGAACTTACATATCTCACAGAAGCTTCCTCAAAATCCTGCCTTACACAAACATTTCTCAGTCATTTCATTGCAATGTCCTTCATGTTGACACGTAATGAAACAGCAACGGTCCAATGTCTACACATCAAGTCAAGGATTAATAAAACAGTTAAACATGTATGTTCAATAACTTTATCACAGGGCCGTAGCAACCGGGGGTGGGCTGGGGGGCTGCAGCCCCCCGATAATTTGCTAATAATCATTCTTTTTTCAAAATCATGCAGGCATTTGTCATTTAATCCATGACAAACTGCAAAAAATGAAGATATTACCCATATTTTCCTGCAACTTATCCAATATATAGTTAATAAATACGCCTTCGCCCATTTAGTACTACTAAATTGTAAATTTCGACATACGAAAACGCTGTTTTCTGACCATCAGAATTCTGTCAAATCTTCCCCAAAGTCCAGGAAATGGCATTTCAGAGACTCTAAATTTAAAAATTTCCTCGGGCAATTTCCTGGGAAAAAGCGACAAATTGCGATTTGTGTTATGGGTCAAAAGTGACAGCGACATTTATCAGTTACAATAAAACAAGCGACAAAGCAGCTACAAAATTAGTGACAAGCGGCCTAGGTTACACCCTTGGTGGGCCTCAAGAATCGCGATGACCGGCGTCTTCACCACGTAGCAAGTTAATAATAGATTTTCTCTGTTCTGGTTTCAACTGAATTTCGAAGCTAATTAAAATACTTGAAATATAAGAAAGAGTTTCCTCCAAAGCATTAACAAGCATATTTTTATGAGAAATATACGGCTGTCTGCCATTCGATATGCGAGCAAAATTATTGTTGACATTTGAGTTACGTAATTACTTCCGTTAACGAGATTGACGAAATTTTTTCGATCAAGAGAAAAATTTCAAGAACAAATTTGTCATAGCCATTTGGGAAGGCGTTTCCTCAAACGACGCCCTCTTTTCTCCCGCCCGCACTAAACGCCTGCTACGCAGGCTACTGAAATCCCAAAATTACGTCATTGCAAATAAACAATATGGTTCTGTATTGTTACTTACTTAAAATTCAAGTCAAATTTGGTGCTACATGCATATGCATGGTTAATCTCAAGTAGTCAAGTTCAGGGTTGCTTTTAAAGAAAATTTAAATGGGTGATGCATATACTGTATATTAACTTACATTGTCCACAAGTTCATAATAATTAGCATTTTCGTCTCGGAGCAAAGATCCAGAATAGTTTAAAGAAAAAACATTATTTAACTGACAATTTTTCTTGTATGTTTCTGATGAGTGCTCTTCGTGGTATGTGATTGATGCACAACATTTTTCATCTAAACATTGGAAGCCACAGAACACCACAGATATTGCAGATACGTTTTTCATCACATAATTATTGTTCAACCTGAATCCTAAAGACAAATAAATATTACAAATGTCCAAGAAACGAGGTTGATTATAACCTATACGTATCCAGGGGCGGCGGGGAGTTTTTCTTCTTAATTAATAATTTTCCTGGAGATTTTATTTTAATTGTATTTTTTCTTCATGTGCCGCTATTTGTTTAGTTTTTCCTTAATGTTTCCGTTAATTTCCTGGAATTTTAGCTACAATTATTATAGACAGGTATTTATTGCGTCACCCCGGCACAAACGAAACGCCTGCTACGCATTGGGGTGATATATCAGTATTACTCAACTGAGTATAGCTATATCTATAGTCACGTTTGTCATCTAAACAATATTATTTCATCCATAAAATCCTAACGACGCGGTGATTTCAGAAAATACGATGAAGATGAACAAAATATACTTTAATAAACGGAGTCGTTCTCTGACCAAAACTAATTTATTTGACGACCTTTCGGCCATTTAGACTGTACATGTAGTCTTCTACATGACAAATGAAAATAGCGAGCGTATATATAGGTTGTGTTACATCATAGCCATAGATTAGGAATTTTAATTAATAGACAATTCCCATTTAATATAGACTAACTTTAAAACTAGGCAATCGCAAGGAGATCACCACAGCTGGAAAGAGCATATTAAAATTAGTAGATTTGCAAAGTAACCAAAGTTTGTTTGCGAAATGTTGTAAAATGCGGAAAATATAGCCTTGCAAAGTTCGCAAATTTTGTATATATACTTTTGTATTGGATCGTGACTAAAACACCACACGAGTATATATACGAGTAACATACGAGTAACACACAAGTACATACGAGTAACATACGGGTACATACGAGTAACATACGAGTACATACGAGTAACATACGAGTACATACGAGTAACACACGAGTAACATACAAGTACATACGAGTACACACGAGTATACACGAGTAACATACGAGTAAATACGAGTACATACGAGTACATACGAGTAAAATACGAGAATTAGCACGCTTTCTTTAAAGTTTTTTTCACTTTCACACTTTCACTTTGGCTTCGTATTATGTTCATGTTGTAAATGCCTTATTGACATAGGCGTACGAGACAGGGGGCGGGGGGGGGGGCAACTGCTCCCCAAAATTTTGGAAAACCATGGAAATTCGAGCAAACGCTAGGAAAAATCAAGAAAATTCGGGCAGATTTATGAGAAAATATGTTAAAATCAGGTTATTTCTTTACAATTCTCCATCAAAATTCAGGCAAACTTTCAACTGCCCCCTCCCTCCCACCCCCCCAGAAAACATCAGTCCCGTTCTCCTATGCGTATTGATGGATTTCGAAGCCTCGCACCATGTAGAAAAAGTAATTCATTAATATAGAATAAAGATTTGTATGTTCTAAGACTCTAAAAAGGTTTAAATGTAGTATATTGCTCATAGGCTGTCAGAGAGTTTTTGCAGTACATGAAAGTGCATGTTTGCCATGTTGTTTATAGGTCTGTAGTCTATGTGTTTTGCAAATTTAATACGTGAATTGTACACCGGGAAATATAAAATACTTAGGGTTCATTATTTATCGGTTGCGGGGGGGGGAGGAGCTGGTGGATTCTAAAATTTAAACAGCATAATAAAAATGACCTCTCTTTTAATGTGTTTAAAAATGTAGTCCACCCCTTTAGAACAGTCTGAAAAATTTTCACCCTCCTCCAACATTAAAGTTAAGAAGAACATAGTATGGCCGTATGGTAGTTCTTCCCATCCTATTCTTGTGTGCTCTTTAATTACAACCAGGGGCATAGAGAGGACCTTCAACTTGGGGATACTGGACAGGATTTAGTCAACGGGGTGGGGGGTGAAATAAAATCCAAATCCACAATATAATTGTGTATAATCTTGTCTAAGTAAGTACATATATGGCCTCAAGAAGAAAGGGTTTACTTTGGGTTTTTAAATGTAAAATATATTTACTTTCAATCATCATTTGGTTTTAAAAGTAATTCGCTTTATTTTAACACATCATTTTCCATCACGAAAAATCATATCTTTTATGCATTATACAGTCTTCGGACTTATGCAAACTCAAACCCCGAAAATGCAGGAAATCGCATTTCAGGGACTCTAGATTTCAAAATATTCTGGGGGAGCATGCCCCCAGACCTCCCCTAAA